GAAGTGGCAGTTTTAATACTTTTGGAGCAATTTGGAAGATTCAGATCTTATCAATAGCAACTTGGTCGTACTAGCAAATCAGAATGGAAGATCAGAAGAATTTGGAGTCTTCTGGTGTATTGGATCTCAGCAACACAAAGCATGAGTGATGGCCATGCTTAATGCTGCTAATCTCTTGCTACTAGCTGGTTAAAGTGCCCTTCTCTGTGCCTAAATGAGAGAAGTAAAAAGAAGGCTGCTGTTGTTGAAAAATGCAAGGTAATGTCTAAGTAAGTGTCATGACATTATCAACGACATTGCAACCTTGGGGAAATCAAGAAGAATACGGGAAAATAACTTCGCCACGTCATTGGTAGTCTGTTTCCTAGAAGGAATAAATCTTCAGTCCCGAAAATGGGTCAAAGGCTGATTTTATTCAGGAATTGCTTTGACCAAAATTTATGCATGTATTAGGACTGGTTCCTTTTGTGGTATTGGCAGAAACAAACAATACATGCACAGTCAGTCTGAAATGTGCACATGCTCTAACAGGTATCCTTGACCAAGATTTCATATTACCATCTTTTTGAACCTAGTATCTCCTTATATAACCTCCTGTCACACATTCTTTTCTCTCACAACCATCATGGGGTTTATACGGATTTGGGAAAACTGTTCTTGGATCTGGTTTTGTGAGGGCTTTCTTTGGCAATTTTTGGCCAAAAAGGGGGAGAAAGGAGTACTGTTAGAAACTGTCCTCGTTGCAGCAGCTAAATACTGTCCTCGTTGCAGCAGCTACTCAAAATTTTGATCACAAAGACTACTTGTCACAAACTCAGCAGAAATTCAAATGGCGTGAATTTCTTTGTGACTTGTGATCTGAGTTATGAACACAGTTGTGACCTGTGTTCTGAGTTACAAGGGAGATATTCTGGTCACTCCTTAAAGGTTCTCTGATGCCTCTGAAAGGATAGTTTATCTCCCACGGTCCTCTTTTTCCACCATCAGTGACAAGAAATGGTTCGTGGTCTAAAAGGGAATAAGGTGCATCCTCTTCCTCCTGTGCCACAAGAGATCCTGAATGGTGAGTATTATTGTTGTATTTGTTTTAGCCAAAATTAGCCAAAGGGGGAGATTGTAAGTGCCTTCGTTTGGGATTGGCTCATCTCTTGTAAAACAAATAGCAACAATAATGTAATGTAATGTACAATAGGAACAGCCTGAAAATTCTATTGTAAATGCCTAAACATGTTCTGGAACAACATGTCTCAAGAGATGTCATAACATCATACCAGACATCAAGCTACTGAACTGTCAAGACTGATGCAGTTCTGTTCCTAAAGTTATGCAGAATATTCTGCCAAATAGAATGCATAACAAGTAGCGAAAATTGAAGGCATACGTGGAGCCCTAGAAGATTCAATCAGAAGCTAAGGATAAGGAGAAAAGCTCGATTGAAGACCTAACTTGTAGCAGAAGTTTTCTGCTTATTTTATGCAGGTTGTTAAAGCTGCATTGCTGAGATATGAAGGCCCAAATCAAGTTGGGTAAAAGGGTTATAAATAGAAGTATTGTAACCTAATTTGATTAATTGCTGATTGACAAGATGTAATCACTTAGGGCTAGTTGTGAACCACCCGGGCTGTGGGATGGTCACCATACTCCTTGAAACCTGTAGGTTAAGGATGTATGCATTGTACTTGATTGAAGCTTTTAAGCATGATCAAGATGTGTAATGGAAGTGTATCTTCTGAACAGTTTATGTACTATAGAAAGTTATCACTGCGGTGATTGAGGGGGAGTGAGAGGGGTCTCATATCTAGGATTTGATCTTAGGTAAAAGTGTCATTAGGTAGTGATTAAGTGAGAAGGCTGTCAACGGGTGTGTTGGCTGTAGGGTCTTTGAATTGATACTACTAATAGTGAACTTTATCCCTGGCTTGGAAGCCCCCAGATGTAGGTTGATTGAACCGAACTGGGTGAACAATTCTGTGTGTTATTTACTTTCTGTATTGGTTATCTGTTGGATGTCACAGCATTCCTCGTAACATCAATGTGTAAGATTAACCTTAGCTGTTCTGAACTTCAGTAAATCAGAACCTGCATGTTGTTGGCTCTGGTATGTTAGTCCAGTGACTGTTGTAGAACAGATATCAAAAGTTCAGCCTAGTCTACCAGTACAACGCTTAATGTCAGATCAGATGTCTTAACATTCCATTAGATATTCTGAGTCTGTGACATTCCCGGAATTTCATATATATATATATATATATATATATATATATATATATTTTTTTTTTTAAAACTGTTTATAATAAAAAAATATTTTTTTGTTATTACTTTTAAAAACTGTTTTTATTTTTAAATTATATATTTGTTGTTATTGTTTTAAAAAACTGTTTCTATTTTTAAAATATATTTATAAAATTGTTTTAATATATTTTTTATTATATAATCGTTTTTATTTAATATATAAAATTGTTTTTATTTTTAAAATATATTATTTAAAATATTTACTACATTACATATATTTTTTATATTCTGTTTTAAAATATATATATTTATAAAGTTATTTTTCTATATTATTTATTATATTTAATATATTGTCAAAAATTAATACTTTATTTTATATATATATATATATATATATATATATATATATATATATATATATATATATATATATATATATATATATATATATATATATATATATATATATATATATATATATATATATATATATATATATATATATATATATATATATATATATATATATATATATATATATATATATATATATATATATATATATATATATATATATATATATATATATATATATATATATATATATATATATATATATATATATATATATATTACATTATGTTCTAATAAAAAAAATATATTTCTATTTTAAATAAATATATTCAATTTTTTTCTTGTTACACTATATATACATATATAGAATAATATATCAAATTAAAAAAAATCAAATAAAAATTAAGAATCGAATTAATATATATATATATATATATATATATATATATATATATATATATATATATATATATATATATATATATATATATATATATATATATATATATATATATATATATATATATATATATATATATATATATATATATATATATATATATATATATATATATATATATATATATATATATATATATATATATATATATATATATATATATATATATATATATATAATAAATTTTAAATATAAATAAATATCAATTCTTCAAACTCCTTCAACTTCTTGTACAACCTTTTTGTTGAATTTTCCTTTTAATCTCTTCAATTTCTTGACACAAATTTTTTTTCAGTCAATCATAAAACATAATTAACCTAAAACGAAAATATTAAAAATAAATTGAATAAATATTATACCTTTGTTACAAAATAAATTTGAAATTGATGATGAAATTGAGATTTGATTATAGAAGAATGGAAGAATAGAGATGAGAGAAAGAAGAAAACAGAAGAGAGAAAGAAGAAAAGAAAGAGGAGGAGAAGAAACACAATGGTTTCTGGAAACTGAGTGTGGAAGTATAATAGCCAATCAGCGACATGAATATCACGTCGCAACCTTGCCACGTGATATTCACGTCGCAACCTTGCCACGTGATATTCACGTCGCAACCCCAACGTTATAATTTTAAAATAAACCAATCAGCGACGTGAATATCACGTCGCAACCTTGCCACGTGATATCCACATTGCAACTTTTCTAACGGTTATATTTTTATATTTAATCTGCACATTTCAGAATGGTTCAGAATGACATTTTGTCAAAGTTCCCTCTAAATTAGTTGCAGCATGTCTAACACGTCGCAACATATTTTTTTGAAATATTTAAACTTCCCTCTTCAAAACGCCTGCAACTTTAATATTTGTTTATTCAACTTTTTATGTTGTGACGTGTTTCCCATGTCGCAACTTTTATATATAAAAAAAAACAGACTGACACAGACTATATTTTAGTTTTATTATTTAATTTATAAAATATTGTAGTGACGTGATTATCACGTCGCAACTACTAAATTTTAGTGACATGATTATCACGTCACTAAATCACGTCGCTGAGGACTGTATTTCTTGCAGTGATTTCAATTAATTTATCAGCTATCCCTATCAATCATTAACTACAAATTATAAATTATTATTCATCAACCATCAATTATAAACTATAAATTATCCATTAATTTATTTTATCAACTACTATTTTTACCAAACAAATCCTAATTAATTTATATTGAACCAACATTCATATATACTCAATCTACAATATAACATATTAAATGATATTTTACAATTTTAAAGATATTATTTGTCGATTTACATAAACGAAGATGCTACCAATTTGTTTATTATTATTATTATTTTTTAAAATAACTCTTTTTTTGACCTTGTTGTTAATTAAATAATATAATCACCTGTATATTCACCTTCTCGTGAATGTGAAAAAAAATCTATAAACTAATACAAAATTAGAACACGACCCTAAACTGCAAGCTTTTGATTGGCAATAAAAATATTTACATATTATTCATTAAAAATGTCATTACATCTGCAATAAAATATAGATTCACGGCAATTTTTAATTGTGTGAGTGATCTTGTTACAATAGAGTAATTTTTCTGTTACAAAATAGTTCATTTCATATTTTCTAAATTGAATCTAACAAATAAAAAGAGAAAATAATTAATTATAATGTTTAAAGTAGAAAAGTTGTTTGTATTATTAAATAATTTAAAAATCCAAAAAGCCAACTAGACACACCGGCATACCAGCTAAAAGCTGCATCTAAAGCAAATCACCAAACCCATCTCTTATCTCTCACCTCACTCCATCATCTTCCAAACCAATTTCTCCTTTTCATAAACCCTATTCCCAATCTTCTAAACTTCAACTTCAATTTCCCCACTTCCCATACTATTATCATTATTATCCGAAACTCAAAACTGGAGTTCCTTCCCTGAGAAATGCCAAGTGTGGCTGTAAAACTCTACAGCGTATTCTTCAAGTTCCTCTTGAAGCACCGTTTACAAAACCGGATTCAAGCCCAACCCGACAATAACTCCAACTCGTTTGGTATCACTTCACGACCCGAAGAATCCGTCGCTAACTCTAACCCTTCTTTTACCGACGGCGTCGCCACCAAGGACATCCACATCGATCCTTTCACTTCTCTCTCTATCCGAATCTTTCTTCCTCAGTCCGCTCTTTCTCCTCCCGAGCCTCATTCCAAACCTAAACAACAAGCTCCCGAACCTGGATCTGTACGGAGAAGTAGCTATGGTCCTCCGTTCAGGGGAAGAGCAGCTCCGAGGGAGGAATAGTAACGCTGTTGAGGGTTTGAATTTGATGAGCGCTGGTGTTGAAACCGGTGCCGGTTTGTACCGTGGTTACTCGCCGGCGTTGGATAATCGGCGGAGGAAATTACCGGTGATGTTGCAGTTTCATGGTGGGGGGGTGGGTTAGTGGTAGTAATGATTCGGTGGCCAACGATTTGTTTTTGTCGGCGGATCGCCAAGCTTTGTGATGTGATTGTCGTTGCGGTTGGGGTATAGGTTGGCGCCAGAGAGTAGGTATCCGGCTGCGTTTGAGGATGGGTTGAAGGTGTTGAATTGGTTGGCCAAGCAGGCGAATTTGGCCGAGTGTAGTAAATCTATGGGGGTTGGTGGAGGAAGCCATGGTGGTGGTGGTGGTGGTGGTGGGGAGTTTAACAAGGATAATCATAGGCATATTGTTGATTCTTTTGGTGCTTCAGTGGTGGAGCCTTGGTTGGCTAGTCATGGAGATCCAACAAGGTTTTCACTATTTCATTGTTCTATTTCATTATTTCTATGTTAATTCTCATGAATCATGATTCTTAGCTTGCTTTGTTTGCATTATCTCATTAAGCATTTCAAGATTGAAGACTAGTCTATTTCTTACTCGTATTGTCAATAGAAAGTTTGTTCTAATTCTGCTAGGCTAAATTGTATATCCACTATTTGAATTTGACAACATTTTCTACTAAATCGCGTGTCACAAAGTGGTTTGTTAAGTTCTGATACTCTATACTGCCACTATTTCACAACTTTTTTTTTATAATGCTATGCTTGTTTTGTGAGTGAAACGCCTTCTGTTATTGTTTTCTCTTGTATATATAGATAGTGATTCATTAGAGAGTGTACTATAATAAGGTAGGTCATGGGATCCTTGAATTTTGGGGAAAGAAGTGGGGGAGGAGTCTACTAATGAATGAAACTCTAATTATGATTATGTTGGATGCTAGTTTAAGATGAAATCCAATATTTCTGTTTTTTTGACATGAATTGATTGAATAGAGGTGCTGTCTGATAAACAACTAACAGCCCCATCATGTGAGTGATATTGGCACAGTGTTTTATTTATTTGATAAGCCACATATGTCTGCAGTTTCTGATTTGTGGGGCAAATTGTTTGCTATTTAACCCATAGTTTGTTTCTATTGATGTACATATTTTCACGTGGTCTTATTCAAACTCTTTCTGTGCTCAAATCATGTTTTTATTGCATTTTCTTGTTACAAACATGTAGATCTGGTTCTTATTGGGGGTTGGGATACTCAGTTGTCATAACAAACTAAAGTGCATTGGTTTTTCTAGTGTTATGTTGGCATAATGCTTGTCTTTCCATTTTAACTAAAGGGATATTGCTTGATCATTTGTTTAGGGAAATTATAGGCTCTTTGTTGATGGAAGAAATGAACTAGTAGAATCGTAGTTCTTTCTTTCTTGCTTTTGTCTGATAGTTTGTTTACTAGAAACTAGAAACGTTATTGATTTAAGGTCGGGGTATTGAATTTCCAGTTTTTCTAGAAGGAAATGCCATCCATACTATGCCCGTGAAGTGCCCTTTTTTAATTTTTATTTCCCTCTATTTAGTATGTTTATACTGTTTTTTAGATGTGCCCACAGGATGTCTCTTTATCATTTGTAATTTAATGGCATTCATTGGCACTATTATGAGTTTTTTGATCAGTGCGCCCTTTTAATTGAGTTAAGGAATTTAAATGCATCCCAGAAGGCCTTACTCTACTTTATCCATTTTATTGACAAAAGGGGTAAGTGTTGTCAATTGTGGTAGTGGAAAATGGAGGATTGTTGAAACTCTGCTATGCAATAGTGCTAGAGCGGCTATTTGACAACATTTTGTATTGAATATAGTGGTTTGTCGCGGCTATTTGACAACATTTTGTATTGAATATAGTGGTTTGTCTTAATGCTGCCACACTATGCCGGTATAGTGCTGTTATACCGGCTATTTAACAATATTCTCTAGGAAATTACTATATGCAGTAGGTCCATAGTAGGGGCCCACAAAGAAGAATAATAACATGCTTCCCATTAAAAAAATTTTATTCTCTTTTATAGTTGATTCTATAATCATTTTTGAAGTTTTCTGGTTTACTTTTAATCGTTTTTTCTGATGCTCTTCTTTTTCTCATAGATATTGCTAAGAATATCATTTCATTCTTTAATCTTTTCTCCCCTGTATCTTGACACCCTATCCCCACATTATCTTCTATACTAAGCTGATTTCTAGGTTGCCTTTGTTTAACATCCGGAGTATTTATACTTCAAAGCTTGGTTAAGGAATACTTAACAATGTTGATGATCAAATATTATAATTTTTGTTAGGACCCAAGCCAATAGTGGCGGATCTTGCCCAAAATATTAAGGGATGCGATAAATATTATTTAAAATAATAATAATAATTTATTTTATTTACTTTTAAAAGTTTTTCTCTTAAAAAATAATAATTTTTTTATATTAAACTATTGTATCACTCTTAAAAAATATACAAATCAAATACTATTAACTAAAAAAAGAACTTAACTTTTATATAACATTGATAAAGTATGAATAAATTAACTCTCAATTCCAAAGAAACATAAAACTAAATTGCCAAAACACTAAAATCTAAATTATTCTAACACCAATACAAATAAAAATCTAACATAATGGTTATTTTCAAAACCAGAAAACTACGGAAAAAATTTTTAAAAAAATTCTGACATATATAATTAGTTTAAAGTGCAAATTTTTAAAAATATCAATTGATAATAAACTAGAGAAAAAATTGTCTTCAATCTAATTCTTCTTCGCTTTAAATATTACTGATTAAGGATTTTTTTAACTCAAATTTATTGAAGTATTTAATTGTGAACACTTTGAGTATTTAGTTAAGTATTTTATAACTAATTTAAATCAATTTAGTATTAATTATTAGGTGAATACTTTTATAGCCTTTGAATTTATTTAGATAAATACTTATTATTTAATCAAATAATTTTATTCAATATTGCATTACATTTTTATTTTATTTTAAAATAAATTAAAATTTTAAATCAATTTTCACAAAATACATCATACTCAATTAATACTCATGAGTACTAAAATTATTGTCCTTTACAAATAAAAAAAACTCTACAATTTTCTTATAACAAGTATATTACTAAAGAAAAAAATTTGTTTATTTCTAAGCAAGTCAGTCAGGTGAGAAATGCAAGTATACATGCAGTAGTTGTTAAAATTAGAAATGCAAGTATACATGCAGTACTAAAATTAGAAAATTTGTTTATTTCTAAGCAAGTATACATGCAGTAGTTGTTAAAATAAAGTAGGAAGATTATCTATCATTTTCGCTAAAATCATGGTTCAATATAAAACCTTTATTATAAAAAAATAGTTCATCACTTTTTGAGGGGTGCAGTGACACCCTCCCACTCCTATGTTACTCCGCCACTGCAAGCCAACTATTGGAAATTCATTACAGAAAAAATAAGAGAGAATGAAGGAAATGCTAATGTGGCATGGGGTGAGGAGAGAGTGTACCCAACGAGGAGAGAGATGGAAGGAGTATCTTCGAAAATTATTTTGGGGGCTAGTTACGGGCATAGTACACTGTTTTCGATAGTAGCTCAACTCTGTACAACATGATATTCATTGTTCTGGAGTTGTCTTTTTTATTTTCAGCAATAATACACCTTGTTTTTCCACTATTGATCTGTCTCTCTGTTAAGTGCCACTGTGTGCAATGAGTTCACATCAATTTTTTTCTTGAAGTAGTAATTTAGAAATAATAAGCCGCTTATTATTGGAGTGCATATTTTGCTATTGTTTAAGTGATTAGGTGAATTAAGACTATTGTTTGGGCATGTGGTGGAAAATACTGTGATACTGATAGGTAACCCTGATTAGCTAGCCCATTAATGGATTGGTTAGTTAGGTGAAAAAGTGAGTAATGAGTAAGAGGAAGGGTTTAGAGGGAAATCATCTTGTCGTTTGGTAAGTAGTTGGGGCCTTAGAGCATCTGGGTGCTAGGCTGTGCCTCAAATGTGGCTGTGCCTCAAATGTCTGCTGTACTTTTCTGTATCCAGAGTATTCTTCCTCATTTTCTTGCAGGTTAACACTATTAGTTCTATAACTGCTCAAATAAATATAGTGTTTTTTCTGTTCCAACATGCATTGTTGGGTATATGGTGTTGCATGTTACATTCTTAGTGGACTGGTGTGGTACTCTCTAAGTCTTGGAATACCTAAGAGTCTCTCCTCAACCGGGCCCTTCTTTGTGTGAATAAAAACTATAATAACATCATAAGTTGCTGAATCACACTTTTACCTAGACGCTGTTATATTGTTTGTCATTTCTCGCTGTCATGCTTCCTTTTTGTTCCAGTTGTAATTGACCTTTTTAATTTCTGTGTGAATTATAAACTATAATATCATCATAAGTTGCAGAATCACACTTTTACATAGACGCTGTTACTATATTGTTGTCATTTCTTGCTATCACGCTTCCTTTTTGTTCTAGCTGTAATTGACCTTTTTTATTTCTTTAATATTGAATCAGATGTGTTCTTCTTGGAGTGAGCTGTGGTGCGAATATTGCAGACTACGTGGCTCGAAAAGCTGTGGAAGGAGGCAAGCTTTTTGACCCTGTCAAGGTGGTAGCGCAGGTCTTGATGTATCCATTTTTTGTTGGTAGCGTTCCCACACGTTCTGAAATAAAATTGGCAAACTCCTACTTTTATGACAAGGCTATGTGCATGCTTGCATGGAAACTTTTCCTACCCGAGAACGAATTTAGTTTGGACCATCCAGCTGCCAATCCCCTGGTCTCAGGCCGGTCTCCTCCTTTAAAGTCAATGCCTCCAACATTGACAGTGGTGGCAGAGCATGACTGGATGAGGGATCGAGCCATTGCTTACTCAGAGGAGCTCCGGAGGGTGAATGTTGACGCACCTGTTCTTGAGTACAAAGATGCAGTGCACGAATTTGCAACACTTGATGTACTTCTCAAAAGCCCTCAGGCCCAGGTTTGTGCCGAGGACATTGCCATCTGGGCCAAGAAATATATTTCACTTCGAGGTCATGAATTCTCGTATTGAGTAGGGTATAAAAAATTAAGATGATGATGATGATTCCCCGGTAGATATTTACCTTCCCTCAACTTCGAAATTAGCTTCAGATCACTCTTTTGCTGCTATTACCCTGGAACAAATATATTATTTGATTGATTTTGATGCTTTATAAGGTGTTGGATATTGACTTGTTCCATGTTTGTACCACTTACCCGTTCTTTTGTAAGATAGATTTAGTAGGATTAGTTGAGCCATTGAGAGATGCATATACCTCGTGCGTACCAACCATCTTAGGACATTCTTGTGCATTTTTCCTGTGTATTATGTGTCATATTTCTTAATGAAATTTATAAAATTTAATGAGCCATTCTTTTGGCATGTGTGTGATGTGATTTCTAATTCATCTATCGATCTAGTAGTATGCCCTTTATTGTTAAATTATCTCATTGACCTGAACTACTCGGATTTTTTTTTTTTTGCTGCAAAAACTCCACAACTCCTGGAAATGATATGATATACTCTCTCCATTCTCTTTTATAAACAACTTTTGATTTTTAGATTTATTGGATAATTGATGTATCTAGTCTAGTCTAAATACATCATTTATTGAATGAACTTAAAAGTCAAAACTTGCTTATAAAAGAATGGAGGGAGTACATGATAAAAGTTATGTCCTATAATTACTGATATCCTTCTTGCTTGGTATGGCAAGAGCTCTGTCCTATGGTATCCTTCTTGCCTGGTAATTTGGTGCACACAAACTGCGCATACTATTAGTTAGAGCTTTTCTTTGACGATGATAAACTTGCTTTAGTGTTCGGTTTTAGCTTTGCCTCTTTCTAATATATAGGCATTTGTATCTTTCTTTGGTTCTCTTTTCTTTCATTTATGCTGAAACTGTTTTGTTGGAATTTGTCAAAGTATAGTCGTGCATGCTTATTGATAAATCCATAGTTCTGGAATGTGTGACCAACAACGAAATTAAGATTCTAAATTGAAAAAGACTTTTTCAATTAAGTTACAATTTAGTGAAGCCCTATGACGATGTAAGGGACTATGCTTCCTTAGTAAACGTACGTACATTGTTGGACTCAATATTATATATTTTTCCTTGATGATTATTCTTTCTAGGATTAATTTGCTGATTATAAATACGGCAATGTCTTTACATTAGTGCCTCGGTGCTTTTTTCTCAAACCTTTTGAGGAGATTGCATCACATAATCAATGCCTAGGTGAGGGGGATACATATGGAAGCCTAATCAAGATAATGAAACTCTCACAAAGTATGTAGTCTTATTATGCTGGCCAAGTTTAGTTTTGCTTGGTGGCCTCAATACTGGAAGCACTTTGAGGGTTAGGGTACTACCAACTCTGGTGTGTGCTCATATAACCATGTTGATCATTCTATTTGGTTTTCTGAGTGTATACTGTAGTTGTATAGGTTGTACCTTTATCGGTTGTTATAAAATCATTTATTTGTTCGATAACATGGATGACTATTAGTATCATTTATTTGGAGGGTAAAAATGCATGTTAAAATTAAGTTTTTGTTTATAAACATATTATTTTTTGTTTTAATTTCTCTATTAGTATCATATTCAACAGCAATGACCAAATTTGTTGACTAGAAATATTTGAGGACTATTAATTCAAGGAAAAAAATGTAGACATCTTACTGGTAAAATAGACTTTTGTTACGGTTACGAGACTATGAGACTACAAAATTAGTTACATCATAGAGTTCAATATTGGGAATTTTTTAACCTATTTTATGTACCTTAAAAGCATCCTTCAAAACGATCCTCAATTTAGGGAAATATATTTTCAAACGTATTTTTATTTATTAAATATTAGATTGTTTGAGAGATGAATCTCCAGAAGCTTCTTTATTTGATAAACATTAGATTGTTTTGGAGATGATTCTACGTAAAGCATTAGAGATGTATTCTTGGATCCAATACAAACAGTAAATTTTGATTATTTTAAGTGATTCTTAGATCAAATAGTTAGAAGCTATGCTATGATTCGACAATACTAAAGTTATGAAGAAAATGACATATATAAAGTTATAACGAAGTCGATACATAAAACACAACTCAAATATATTACTTTAATCTATTGCGTATAACAGACTCGAAGTCGGCCTTGACCTCGTGCCACCCTTTTCCTACGCTGCTTCCTGTATTGCAGAGTCTCCCGAGCCTCCGCCATCATGGCATCTATAATGTCCATCGCCTTAAAGCCATCTAGAAAGATTCCTCCGTTAATATCTGCTGCTCAATCTCCATGATACGATAACATCTAGGCAACACATTAACAACATGGTCTTCCCTAATCTGCTCCTCCTTTAGTATCTCCTAATGAGCTGACCTAGGTGGATCCCCTAGAGCATCACGTACCATATAAAGATGTGACACTCGAAAGAACTACCCGATGTAATCGTCTACGCAACTTCATTCGCTCTCAGCTATGGTACTCCATGTCTCATTCGATACTAGATGATTAACATAATCATCAAACATAGCATCTATATCTCTACGTTCTACAGTGGGAGGAGCAGACACAGAAGGATTTATAGGAATATATTACATGTAGTCAAACTAATGCATGACGCGCTCAGGCAGATAAGGAGATGTCAAACGTGACCCATAAGCCAATCATCTAGAGTATAAGACTATGTCATCAAAGGAAACCGTCTTACGGTGATCGACGTAACAATAGAAGTGTATATTCTCTGCTACCAAGCGATCAATATATACTCTGAACGACTCTGTCGTTTGGTCCCTTCAGAGCGGAGAGAATGCAGAAGCACGCGACATATACTTAGTATAAGTCAGTAGACATGACCAACTTGAGATGCGTAAGAAATGTTGGAGGATCCAAGTCTAAAAAGTGTTGGAACACACATATACCTATCAAACAATGCATTGATCGTAAAAATACATATCTAATTCGTTTCTAATTAGGTATAAGCTATCAAAATGTAAAATCTTTCTATTTCATAGCCTAAACATCAACTTCTACACATTTATACAAAAGCTTAATAAAGTTTACAAAATTTTACAATTAGTGTCTTGAAGTTGCTTGGTATTGCTTGATGTTGCTTGAAGTTGATTGATGTTGTTTGATGTTTCTTAGAATGTGGTTTGACAGGGTTTGAGAAAATGGGGTTTTAGATAGTTTGGTAAAATGGATTTTTTGAGAGAGTTTAAGTAAGCGAGGAAGAGATTTTGATGCGTATTTGAACGAAGAGCACTCGGAGATGCATCTACGTAAGTTTTCCGAAGATGTATCTCTGAAATATTTGCACGTGGAGTTTGGGCCTGATTTAGATTTGTACTGAACTTTGGTGCGTCTGAAGATGCATCTACGTAAGGTATACGTAGACGTATCTTTGACTAATTCTTTCCATTGATTTAGAAGTGTGTTGAACTTTAGTGCATCTGAAGATGTATTTTCAAAACCTAGGGGCATAACCGTATTTTCACGGGGTGTCCTAGTAATGTATATGGTGCATTAAGAAATTTCCTCAATATTTTGTTACGACGTTAGACATCGACAAAAATATGATCTCCATACATATTTGTCACATAAAGACTTAACCTAACATAAGTTATTAAATATAGTTTTTATTCAACTCTGACTTTTTAATCATAGTTCATTAGACTGGGTTCCTTCTTCTGGCTTCTCACACTCAACCATTTCCTCCAAGCTTCCAAAATCTTCTTTTTACATCTCATAAAACACACTTCTCCCAATATTTCATTTGTTTTTTTCTCTTAAGAATTTCAAATTAAGTTCAATGAAGGAAGTGAGTTTGAAGATTTTTTTACTCTTTTTTTCTCTTGATCTAGTTGGATATGAATAATATGAGTGATAGAGAATTCTAGTTGATCATTGTTGATTTTATTTTTCATGAAGGGGGGGGGGGGAGGGATATCTATAAACAGTCTAATGATCAAATCAATGAGTCATGAATGTGATCTTTAGAATTTTGAATGATGTATAAATTTCTTTTATCAATTTACAGTAGACGACTAGGGTTTAAAGGTTTTAGAACCTTTTCTAGAATATTTGTCTCTAGGGACTTTTAGTGTGTATTAGTCCTACGGTTAATTTATAGTGTCAAGATTAACACATGTCAGCTTGAATGTATTGATTACGTGCTATAGAAAGTCAACCTGTTACACTATATAAGTAACAAGTGCTACTCTTCTAACTAACTGTTCTCTTTACTAACATGGTATCAGATTTCTAGATCTCGATCTAGGACCTGAACATGGCTGAGTCGTCGCAGTCGATGCAATCACCATCTCCTTATATCGATGTTTCCACCGCTGCACCGGTGCTTTCAATTTATCTTGAGGATTCACATCACCTTTATTCTTCTCTCAAGATCGCTCAAAAACCAGATGAGAAGAACTTTAATCTATGGAAAAAAAATTGGTACATCAATGCGCACAATCTCACAGAGTTTGTTATATGCTCGTGAATTCTGTTACAGTTCATGAATGATAATGCTCAAAAATATGGTTCAATGAATCCCGAGTACTCTCACTGGTTGTAGAAAGATCATATACTTCTGTCTGGGCTTCAGTCGACGCTCTCGAATGCGATTCTATCCCATGTTCTTGGCTGTACACATGCTCACCAACTCTGGGATATGTTGTTCACCTACTTTCACAAGCAAACTCACGCTCGTGCTCGTCAACTTCGTGTTAAGCTTCATGCTCTCACACTGGATACTCTAAGTGTTCAGGAATATCTGCTAAAGGTGCATACTAATGTTGATTCCTTAGCATCTATCGGTGATCTCATTCCTGTGTCACATCATATTGATGAAATTCTTGAAGGACTTTTGTTAGATTTTGAACCATTTATTTTCGTTATTGAGAAAAAAAATTTAGACTCATGAACCTTGATGAGGTTGAAATCTTACTTCTTTCTCGTGAACTTAGACTTACCAAGTTCAATAAAAAACATATACTTGACCTTGTTTCTCTAAACCTCATACATGTGGCTCCT